AAATTAAAAAAAAAAATTCATGATATCCTTTATAAATTAGAAAATATGAATTTTGGGGGTCTTTTTGTAACATGGTTTCCTTGTTGCCCCAGGTGACCTGAAATTCACAAGGTACACCACCCTGGCATTGAACTTACAGAGATCTGCCTGCCTCTGCCTCTAAGTACTGGGATTATGGGTATGAGCCACCACACTTAGTGAAAATATGAATTTAGTTGAAGGTCAAACTAGACTATGGTGCCAATTTGGGGAACTCAAATGTTTCTAAATAAAACAGTTATGTCTATTAAAATATCATATACTATTTGATCAAAATATAGAAATAATTGACACAGATTTTTGAAACTTTTTCTATAATATTCTAGCTTGTCATATTATAGGGACTGTGCTGTGTCCTGGCCTTTTTATTATGGAATTTCCACTTTAAAGAGATATTTGCATAAATCTTTCCCCCTTCATATGCATATTAAGATACAATTACTTCATACAGTTCAGGATTTTCCAAGTAGCATATTTATGAATTAACATTTTCACATATTCACAAGATATTTAGAGAATATGTGACAACTCAGTGATACTTAGGATCTTGTTCTAGTTTGTTTCTCCATTGCTGTGAGAAAACACTCTGACCAATACCAAAGTTGGGGGGAGTTTATTTGGCTTACATCTCCTGGGGTTCATCAGGGAGTCCAAGGTAGGAACTTAGGGCAGGAACCTGGAGGCAGAGCCTGGAGCACTGGCCATGGGGGAATGCAGGAATGTTGCTTACTCCTTTCCTCCCCTGGGCCCTGCCCACACTGCTTTCTTATACAATATAGGATCACTAGCCCAGGAATGGCTCCACCCACAGTGGGCTGGGCCCTCCCAAATCACTTAACAATTAAGAAAATTACCCCACAGATATGGCCACTAGACAGCCAAATGGAGGCAATTACCCAATTGAAGCTCCTATTTCAGGTACTTCAAGCTGACACTAAAGCTATCCAGCACACTGCTTTAGTCACACAGAAAAGAATGAGGCATTAGTCTTTGAATGTTGTGAGGTTCCTGTTCACTAAGAAATTTTGGATGTTTCCTAAGACAGGAGCCATTTGTAAATGGTGGCTAACATATTTTGTTTATCTGTAGGTTTTCCTCTACAGTAAAGATTCTGTGAAATTCAATAAGATTGGAAGGGAAAATAAAGGCTTTCTCACAGTAATTATGTTTCTAGTTTCTCATAATTATGAATTAAGAATAAATTTTTATTACCGATTTTGCAATTTTGTGTGCAAAAGTATGGATTCTGCTTTGCTTTCTAAGGATTGAGCCAAGAGTAAAGTATGTACCATATTCTGGGCAATTGTAAATTATCTCTCCAGTATGAGTTTTTGATAACTGCCACCATTTGACATATTATTAAAGGAATTGCTACATTCTTTATATGTGCAGTGTCTCCCTTTATTGTAAATTCTTTGATGTTCTCTAAGAGTTGACATACAAGTACAGGACCCCTCAAACCCTTTTCATTTGTGAAGTTTCTCTCTAGTATCAATTCTCTCATGTCTTCTGTGTGCTGAGGTCTCAGTTTTTCATTCTTCTCATCAGAATGGTTACATTACCCACTATGAAACATTAAATCTGACTAAACGACTTGTCATATGCTTCACATTGTAGGGTTTCTCTCAAGTATGAATTACATGATGTGCTCTAATCTAAGACATATTTTTAAAGGACTTCTTACATTTCTCACATTTGTAGGGATTCTCTCCAATAGGAATTCTCAGGTTGTTTATAAGTTGAACTAATCATAAAGGACTTGCCACATTCTTCACATCTGTAGTGTTTCTCTCTGGCATGTATTCGCTGATGTGCTCTCAGAAGTGACATTTGACTAAAGGACTTACCATGTTCTTCATATCTGTAGGGTTTCTCTCCAGTATGTATTCGCTGATGTACTCTAAGACTTGACATTTGACTAAAGGACTTGCCACATTCTTCACATTTGTAGAGTTTCTCTCCAGTATGTATTCGCTGATGTAGTCTCAGATGTGACATTTGATTAAAGGACTTGCCACATTCTTCATATCTGTAGGGTTTCTCTCCAGTATGTATTCACTGATGTACTCTCAGACATGACATTTTACTAAAGGGCTTGCCACATTGTTCACATCTGTAGGGTTTCTCTCCAGTATGTATTTGCTGATGTACTCTAAGACTTGACATTTGACTAAAGGGCTTGCCACATTTTTCACATTTGTAGGGTTTCTCTCCAGTATGTATTTGCTGATGTACTCTCAGATGTGACATTTGATTAAAGGACTTGCCACATTCTTCACATCTGTAGAGTTTCTCTCCAGTATGTGTTTGCTGATGTGCTCTAAGACTTGACACATGACTAAAGGACTTGCCACATTCTTCACATCTGTAGGGTTTCTCTCCAGTATGTATTTGCTGATGTGCTCTAAGACTAAACATTTTACTAAAGCACTTGCCACATTCTTCACATCTCTACCATTCCCCTCCAGAAACCATATTCACTGATGTCCTCTAAGATGTGACATTTGACATTGATACCTTCTTCACATGTATTCACTGATGTACTCTCAGACGTGACATTTGACTAAAGGGCTTGCCACATTGTTCACATCTGTAGAGTTTCTCTCCAGTATGTATTCGCTGATGTGCTCTAAGTCTTGACATTTGACTAAAGGACTTGCCACATTCTTCACATCTGTAGGGTTTCTCTCCAGTATGACCTCTCTGATGTAATTTGAAACTTGTCATCCAAGTAAAGGACCTGTCACATTCTTCACATTTCCAGGGTTTCTCTACATTACACACCCTTTGATGTCTTCTAAGAGTTGAGTTCTCCAGGCAAAGCAAAAAAGAAAACATTTCAATATGGAGTATAAGGCTGAGACAATCACATACTCACAGATCCGTAAAGAACATGTAATATGCATGGATAAAATTTCCGACATTGAGCAACGTTCAAATGAACAAAACTAAAAGTCTATGTAGTAAAAGAGGGAGATGAAATCAAAACTAAATGACAAAACTTATTCAATAAAAATAAAATTAGAAAATATATGAAAAATACAACAATACATGGATATACAATCATAAGAGTCATTTAGAAAGTTGAAATGAGTATTAACTAAGCATTACATAACAAGCTATAGGCAAAAAAGTCAATATTTAAATCTGTGAAGAAAACATACCAACTAATTAAAAGGCAGGAAATTTGTAACAATATCAGATCTCTTGTCAAGAATGACCAGAGGCAAAACAGCATGAAACAGTGTAAAAATACATTTATCATACTGAATGTGAACATATTAACTAAAGTTGACTTGTAGAAAAGGTATCTCTTAAAATTAATGGAGGAACACCCACACCCATTCCTCACCGTGGACCAGCTCAGTGCACCTGGAGGGAGAGTCTGGGTCAGTAATAGTCACATCAGTGCTCCTCTATAATAGAAGGAGAGAGGGAAGATGGTTGTTTCATGCTTCACAGACCTTTCTTCTCTGCCTTCTTTTCTTTTGCATAGCTTAAAATAATTGGTAAAACTGACAAGAAAAATTTAAGAACATTCTGTACTTATCAGTAATCATACCATGAGATAAGCCTCAACATGAAGCAAATACTAGACAGCAGCCAAGGACGGAGTGTGCTAGACTGGCCAAAAGTTCCTATGCATTTGAATTTGCTCTGTACTATTAAAAATTCATTTTAGTGCATATGACTCAAAATGTAACTTGCATTAACTTTCCTATTTATTCTTTCAGCCACAGGATTCTATTTTCATCAAACAGCACTGGAACAATAAAAAATTGAGCTTTTTTTACATTAAAAAAATTGATGGGGGAAGAAGTTCATTTGAAGAAATTTACCCATTCATGGCAAGAAAGTCATCACTTCAGAATTTATGGAAGCAAACAAGGTACACAGAGGAGAAAGACACTCTCATTCATGGGAAAAGAAGTCAGAATACAACTGTAAAGAGTAATTGATGAATGCACAATGTTCCAGAAGGAATCCACCATTAGCAATACAGGAAACAAAGTAGAGATGAATATTAATACTAATAAAAATTAGTACTAATTAATGTTTCTAACAGCAGAGCACCAACAAAATCATCTTGAATTGAAAAATCCTCCTACAATCATATTAAATGAAAATTGTCTCAGGTCACCAGTTAAAAGATAGAGTCAAGAAGAGTGGGTTCAAAGTAAGATTCATGTATCTCTTAGGTCCAAGAAACATACTTTATTGTAATGACATTCAGAAACAAAAAGCAAACAAATGAACATCTAAAAGAATACATAAAGAATGCAGAATATCAATTCCCATAGAACGTAAAGTAGACTGCAAAGAATTGTAGGCAGAAGAGATAAAATGATCAGTACATATTAGTAGAAAGAAATTTGTTTAGAGAACTGCAATTTTTTGTATGTAATATTACAGTTTCAAATTTTATAATAGAAAATCCAAGTAAAAAGAAAGCTTAAAATTGATTCTGAATGTC